AAACCTATATACAGTATAACGCAAGCTCCATCTCAGGTAAGGATGTCCTTCTAGAACAGGGCTGTCAAAGTCCTGGCCCATGGGTCAGATGCATTATGCAGTGTTTTAGCGAAGGGGAAAAAAGTTCCAATATGTCATGTGACACTGCCATGACGATGTGAGTTTGACATCCCTATTCTAGAAGCTTTGACTCTGAACAAAGACTCATTTGATACTCTACATGGTTTACTGGTGAGACCCAGGGGTGGGTTTCTACCAGTTCTGTCCACCTCTGTAGAACCGGTAGCTCTGAAGAGCAGCAGACATAGAACTGGTTCTATGTCTGCTGACGTTTTTGCCCACTTGCCCACCTGGGCTCTTACCTGATCTTTATTTCCTGATTTTTCAACTTCAGCTGCCAAACGAGGCACAGCTGCAGTTAAAAAAGCAGGAAAAGAGGGCTGTTTCAAAGGCTGCTTCTCTGCACACAGCTGCTGATGACGATTTACAGGCACGTGGCTCGCAGCGTGCAGGGAAGCTCATAAATCCCGAACCGATAGATAACCCTGTCGTATCCCACCCCTGGTGGGACCTACAGCATCTCAGGCAAGAAGGAGTCATCCCTGTGATTTGAGACCTCATGGGACCCAAATTGTGCTGTCTGCTGGTCCACTGGTCAGTGTTTTCTGATATATTTTCCTCAAGCAATTTTGAAGTCAGATAGGAAAAGTGTATGTAATTTGGCTCTAGTTAGTATTGTCTTAAATACATTTCAAATATACTATAAAATCCATAGCCACAGTATTAACAATGTATCATGACCTGCCCAGCTCTACAAACAATTGCCAATCTATGTGAAGGCAGAAACATCTTTTTCACCATGCTTTCTTAAGGACTTCCTTTCTGACAGTCCTTTCTGTCATTTATGTTCTTGGATACCCTACCATTTCTATGCTGAACATTTATAACATATTTCTGCCTTAACCAAAGATTTCTAATGTTAAAAATCAGAATTAAGTTATCTTTGCCTAGTTCTGGAAAAGTCTGAAAATTTTCAGAGAAGATATAGCAATCCCAAAACCTTCAATATTTACCCTCAGAAGTGCAAAATTAGAACGTTATGCACTGTAAGCATCATTTCCTTGAATTTGTAGTATTTTGTCATTTCCTTGAATTTGTAATATTTTTATATTGTTTTCAAAAAGGGAATGTTACTATCTCATTTTAATTTTTTTTTCCTAAAACACAACTCTGGTTTTTACCTCCATACCCCTAGTAGAAATGGTAATACTCCTAGTAGAATTTTATTGAGCCAAACTAAGAGAAAGAGGGGAGGGAGAGAGAGCCAGAGAGAGACACCCTTGGTGTTCTTTGAGCTTGGTTTAGTGGAGGGATTAAAAATTTTTTACTACTGGTTCTGTGGGTGTGGCTTGGTGGGCGTGGCAGGGGAAGAATACTGTAAAATCTCCAGTCAGAGGTTAGAGTTAGGGTTTGCCGGTTCTCCGAACTACTCACAATTTCCACTACCAGTTCTCCAGAACTGGTCAGAACCTGCTGAATACCACCTTTGGCTTGCTTGCAGATGTTTCACTACCCAGATAGATAACATTATCAGTGCTAGTGATTACTTTCTATTTATATACATTAGCTTGCCCTGCCAGAGTTGTTCTTCTCGTTGTGTCTTCCCTTTGACAGTTCCTTGATTAGAGGATTGTTTTCTGCTTGGTTGTTTCTCTGTTTGATTGTTTTTCTCCTTAGCAGTTCCTTAACTAGGGTATTCTTTCCTGCTTGATTGTCTGCATACAAACAACCAAGCTCAGAGAGCACCAAGGATTCTACATTTGATCCTGAACTACATGAAGTATATTGTCTTCTACTGATAGATTTGTTTCCAAACCTTGATTAAATGCTTTCTGTGCTGTCCAGCCAGTGTATGGGAATTGGATAGTTAGGTAGCAGTTGTGAGCTGTCCCCTTAAGGGAATGCATCATGGTAAATGTAGTTAAGGTATCCTGGGAAATGTAGTCCATATCATGTGACCACATCTGTAATCCTGATTGGTCACTAAATTGACCCTCAAGGGGTTGGGGGAGGTTTTCTTCATTCTTGCCTGAACTCACGGACTCATGGTAACTGTTTTACTTTTATCGCTACAACATGAGGGAAAAAGGATAGAAGATAAATCATCTTTTTACCTATAAGACAGATGTACAAAGGATTGGTCATTAAAGAAGAACTTCATCACAAATGTGAGTTATGAGGATACCTGATGAACCAATAAAAGTACTTTGTTATGGATGTTTTGTGGAGTTATCTATCTGCATCTGTACAGGATACAGAATAGTAAAAAGATGATTTAATTTGAAATCCTGAAGCCCATCAGTATAAAGACTGTTAATTTGGATTTGTGATAAAGCAAGTAATGTTGAAGCCAGGAGTGAATGAAGAATACTAAGCTCTGTGCCTCAGTTTGAATTGCAGGGAGGCGCAAGAATCCCCCCCCCTTCTCCTTTTCCAATATCCTACGCTCTGGCTTTCAAAGACTATCAAATTTGCCTCCTTCGATCCTTTACTGAGGCAGGATTCTTTTGTCTTTCGTGTCAAGCCAGAAAGGGGCAAATTCCCCCTCCTTTTCTCTTCAGTGAAAGAAGTGCTGTGTCTCAAATTACAACTCCTAACTGGGAAGAGTCAATTTGTAAAACAAAGGGAGGAGCCAGGTTTTACCATCTGCCCTGCTTCTCCCCAGTTACTACCTACAACCTTTTTTTTTCAAATGCAGATGAAGGAACTCTAATCTCTTCTTGTGATTAAGAAAATAAGAAACTGCAGCTACAATTCTCAGCAGTTGGAGAGGGTTTGCCTTTTTTCTCTCTCTTTCTGTTCCTATGTTCAGCAGGAAGTGACCAATAAAGATACCTTGCATTCCTCGTCACCATAGAAACAGCCTGCCACAAGGCAGACCCCTTTGTTTCAAAACTCTATACAAATGCTGAAAGCGTTCCTTCGCTTGAAAAAACCTACAATGACTTCCTTTTTCCTCCCAAGCAAAGGAATTTGATCTTTTTTCTTTATCTATGCAACATATATTTTAAAAAGCCCGCTTGGCTGCTGGGAGGAATTTCCCCCCTCTTTCTCTATCCAACCACAGAGGCTCAGGAAGTCTTGCTGTCTCTGCTGACTTGTTAATGCTTACTCTCCAGAAAGGGGATTTCCTGAATCTTAAAGCAGCGGCTTCTGGGGCTCAAAGAAAAATCTCCCTGAGTTTTCCAATACGTGTTTGCATTGATAATTCCTTTTTTGAAACTATTGTGGACAATTTAATCAATTTAATTCAAGATTAACTGCAACCCAACAGACCTAAGCAAAGCAGCCCACAGCTACATCTGGGGCTCAAGGAGAAATTTCCCTGAGGTTTTTTTTTTTTACACAGTTTCTCAAATTTGACCAGAGTGTTTATCCAATGACAATCCCTTTTTGCAACTATTGTAACAGCGTCTTCCAGACCCTCTGCTGCCACCTTGTGGAGCAAGCAACACTAACAGGCATATTTCTGCGTTCAGCCCTCGTCTTCAGACTTCGCGACACAACCTCTAGTGCCCCCTTATGTTGCAAGCTCATAACGCACTCTAGAAGCAGCCATACTGTGCCTTGTGCTAGCATCACCCAGATTTTGCAGTGCCACCTACGTGCTCCAGTATTAAATCCAGCAGCAATTCTACTTTCTGCTACCAGCTTGCAGCGCACCCTAGTACAAAAAAAGGAAATTGCACGGAAAATCACTAAATTTTTCCAAAGTCACCTTTTACCAATTTGAAACATGGCAACTGCTTCAGCCATGACGGATGTCCCTGCAGTACCAGAGGACTTGAACCCTCCACCCACCTTTGATGTAAACCTGGAGCCTGGTTCCCAAAACCCAGTTTCAGATGTCCAAATCTCTACGGAAGTGGTGATACCTCCGAAAGCCTACGACCTTAGAAAGAGTAAGAAGCTTACCAAACCCATGGAAGAACACTTGAGGAACAATTGGGAGAAGCAATATCGCTGCTACGCAGACTCATGGGCGGAGCTTGGGAAGATCTGTGATGCCCCAAAACACAAGCTTCTCCCCGAGAAACTCCACACATTGTCTACAATGACGTCATACAAAGAGATGACTTGCCCTCACAGAGAAGTAACAGAGAACCATCACTAAGGTGTGGAAGGTTAGACTTAGCAGTCAGTGGTGGGTACAAATTCAACGACAAGCCAGGCAGAGAATACCTACTATGGAAGTCTATTTTCACGAGCACCGCCCAAAGCGAACAGCTGCTTAAATTTCTGTTGGCATGGCTAGGACCACGGTCTAGCTACATGGTGAAACACATTTACACAGGCTTACTTAACGACCCAGACACCACTCTAAAACGAGCGTGGGATGCTTTGAACTGGAAATATGGCGAAGACACATTGATGGAATACTCGCTCCTAGAACGACTTTACAGTTTTCCGTGTATCACCATCCACGAAACCCAAAAACTAGTTTTCCGTGTATCACCATCCACGAAACCCAAAAACTAGAGGACTTTTCCAACATCCTTACAGAGCTGTGAACAGCCAAAGAATGTTCTGACTTACTAGGACTGACTTGCCTTGATCTCTTCATAACGCAAGAAGCAATCATCGCCAAACTCCCAAAAGAAATATTAGAACGATGGATTGTTTTGTCCAACGCCTTTCTGGCCGTGAACCGCAGACAAGACCCACCCTTTGCCTTTCTCCAAGAATTTGTCTTCCGGAAAACAGAGTCCTGCAACAGCTTCAGAAACCTTCGCCTCAGAAGCAGAGTTTACCAACCTAACAGAGACTTCTACTGCAACTCTGGACCTCTCCAACCTCTACTGCACATCTCTACAGATCATCACCAAACATCCACACATAACACCGATATCGACTCCTCATCCACACACAGTTGGGGAGAGAACTCATCAGATACAACCCAATTTAGATTTCCAAATACAAGGAGAATACAGTTTTGTCCTATGCACCACACTTGTCACACACTGAACAGATGCACTGGATTTGCAGCAAAATCACTGACCCAACGAAAAGAGTTGCTAAGGGACTACCAATACTGCTACAAGTGTTGCGTATCCAAACACCCGCCCAAGTACTGCACAGCCAAGGTGCAATGCGACTTATGCCATAGTGACCAACACCCGAATGCGCTGCATCCAGACTCCGAGCCGCCACTGCAGATATCTCATAACCCTCCTTTGGACAAGGAGCCTCAACGTAACACAGAAGCATGCAGGGTTCCTCAGCAGATTGACAAACCACAACCAAAACCAAGGATGAGTGTCAACTGCACGGCACTATGCGCTGACTCACCATGCCCTCGTTCATGTCTTCCCGTATGTGTAGCCAAAGTGTACCCTGAAGGATGCCCTGAAGATGCCATGAAAATGTACGTGCAGATAGACACTCAAAGCACCTGCACCCTGGCCAGACCTGCATTCTTCGACCACTTTGAGGTGCAACAGAATGAACTTCACTTCACTGTATCAACGTGCCATGGACCAAGAAGCATGGCGGGGAGGAGAGCTTCTGGACTCTGCATAGAGTCATTGGATGGAAGTTCCCGGTTCCCACTACCACCCGTATTTGAATGCGATGGGGTACCGAATTATCGCAGTCAGATCACAACACCTGAGATCATAAGTAGCATGCCTCATCTACAGAACCTGGCTCATCACTTTCCCGCTCTAGATCGGGAGACTGAGATCTTACTCTTGCTGGGAAATAATGCCCCACACGCCTTTCTCTTCTCCGAGTCAGTCAGCAGCCCTGTAGATGGCCCAGTGGCCATCAAATCTCCACTAGGATGGGGAATCATAGGAATTGTCAGTGACAATCGGATGCAGGCTCCAACCCAGGCAAATGCCTTAGCACCATCCATTCCAACAGCCTCCCGATGCCCTTTAGCACCATTGAAAACAAGAATGCCATTCCAGACTAAAAGGCTCTGGCAATCAGTACACTTTCGCTAGGATACTCTAAACAGCCACCAGCAACCTCCAGACATCCACTAAGACACTCTACATGGGCATATGCCTATGCAACACCCTTTCCAACACCTACCCGGCTCCCGTTGACACTGTGGAAGCAAGAGTATCGTTCCAACCCTAAAAGGCCACCAGAAGCGACCACCAGACTTTCACCTTTGCCACCAAGAGTACCTGTACCACCTAAAAGGCCGCCAGAGATGACCAGCAGACTTGCACCAAGAGGCTGAACTTCAAGATTGAACCTCAAGCTTTGCATGCTTTGCTTTGTTTGATGCTTTATTAATGTTTACTGTTTATCTTAGTTATATAGTTATATGCTATTCAGTTACTATTACTGTCTATTTCTTATCTTAGTTTATAGTTAATTTTTTTCTTCTTTGAATAGTGGAATTTACAATTCCAGGTGGGGAGTATGCTGTCCAGCCAGTGTATGGGAATTGGATAGTTAGGTAGCAATTATGAGCTGTCCCCTTAAGGGAATGAATCATGGTAAATGTAGTTAAGGTATCCTGGGAAATGTAGTCCATATCGCGTGACCACGTCTGTAATCCTGATTGGTCACTAAATTGACCCTCGAGGGGTTGGGTTTTTTTTTCCTCATTCTTGCCTGAACTCACGGACTCGTGGTAACTGTTTTACTTCTATCGCTACAACATGAGGGAAAAAGGATAGAAGATAAATCATCTTTTTACCTACAAGACAGATATACAAAGGATTGGTCATTAAGGAAGAACTTCATCACAAATGTGAGTTATGAGAATACCTGATGAATCAATAAAAGTACTTTGTTATGGATGTTTTGTGGAGTTATCTATCTGCATCTGTACAGGATACAGAATACTTTCTCCATGGAAATTATACCATTTGGAATTTCTTTATATAACACAATCTAAACTGATTCCCCAACCCCCTATCATATTGGATTGCTACTTTTATTCAACAATTACTAGCTAAAGGACATTTTTATTGTTGAAGAAAATGTGGGAAGGATGTATGTCTGAAAAAGCATGATAAATTTTAATACAGAAACTTGCCAGACAGATTTTTATCTGTTTCATTTATTGATAATGAAACTTTATCATCTGGGACTTGGATTAAAAAAATCAAGGAAATGAAAGTGAGGAGAGTACTTTATTGAATTGGACAATGTTGTGTTCATAAAGACATGATTTGTACAATGTTAATTTCCATCTTTCAAATGCTGTGGTTTTGGAAAGAGCAGGTTAACTGAATTCTCTGTTGACCATCATCTGTTAGTTAGTTAAAATCCTTCTTTCATAATTATCTGAGACATATTAAAAGGTTTTACTTCAAAACAAACTTTAAACTTGGGTCATTTACTGAACAAATATAAGAATTATTCCTACATAATATTGTAAAGGGAGCTTTCATGACCATTTGTTTAGTGACCATTCAAAGTTGCAACAGCAATTCAAAAGTTACTTACAACCACTTCTCACACTTACATCTGTTGCAGCATCCCAATGGTCATGTTTACATGACTATTTCTGCCATGAGTCAGCTTGAGCTGGACATAGTAGAAATATCTGTAATAAAGAAATAAAATGAAAATATACCCTTGCTACCATTGACATTACATGGAATATTCTATTTCACATAATAGTTAATGACTGGGCTTGGTTTGTTTGCTAAGTATTTGATAGACTTGAAAAAGACTCAAAGCAGAAATCCAAATTACAGTGTCCCTGCTGGTTAATTATCCAACTTCTACTTGAACACATCTGACAAAAGGGAGGAGCCCACTCCCACACTGATTTCATTATCAATCTATTTCCATTGTTAAGAAATTGTCTCTAACATTCACTTCACCTCTTTCAGTGCCTCTAAATTCTTTTTAAACTGAATCCTAAACACAATACTTGAAGTGCCAATGCAGAATTAATTTTTTTTTTATTCAATTCCATACTGGGATGGTATAGATTAGAATATCCTGCCTTGAGCAGGAGGTTGGACTAGATGGAAGACTTCCAAGGTCCCTTTCATCCCAATGACTCTATGATTCTAAATAATAAAAACATTTACCTTTTTTGTTCCTCACTTTCACATTTTATCAGTCAGAGTCTTAGGAGGCAAAGATATCTTTGTTGGATCAACAGGTGGTTCATCTACCCCATTTTTCTATCCAGGAACAAAATTCTATCAGAGTGGCCATTTCTTTTTTAATGTAATGTGACTCTCTTGTAAGGCTATTCCTTTCACATATGTCAAGAACAGCATTTGGTATATTTGAGCTGCATTCAAGCAGCAGACCCACTACTTTTAGATCCCAGAAATATTCCAGTTGCAATTGGTATACTGGATGTGCTTCAAGAACAGTTCCATGTTTTCATGTTTATTTCATGTGTGCATCAAAGCCAACCAGTACTGAAGGGTGTACATTGTCATTGTGTAAAAAAAGATGATTTCTATAAAACAGCATGTGATAGGTTAAATTACAAGTTATTTTCATGATTCTATAATCTATAAGATACATTTCAAAGTGTTTAGGAAGCAAAATCTTCGTTGTCCAGTGTAACAGTTCCTTCCATCTCCCTTTCCTAGTTGTAAATAAAAATATAGAAGAAACAGACCAGAGGACTGAATTTGGGGGCACTCCAATATTATTTTAAAAATGCCTAGTAATTATGTCTTTATTATGACTGTTGTGCAAGTTTGTTCCTCTAAGTGCTGATCAACCTCTAATCAGACTTTTATAATGTATTTAATAAGTTTGTGCTAAATATCTAAGGGATGCCTCACAAGTTGCTTAGCAACGTAATCTGCCTGTTCCAACTATGTTTTCTGGCTCATCCCTTACATGCAAGAAGTATGTATGTACATATGTAGTTCATGCACTGATTGTTTCTTCCTGCTGTTTAATTGCTGAAGCAGGCAGGACATGAAGCAAAGATCAATGTCTCAACAGGCCAAACTGCATTTTCTTGAAAAGGAAATGTCTCTACAGCACAAAAACATCTCATTAAGGAAAAGCACCTAGTGAGTGTCATTATTTAGCAGTTTTGAACCCTGGTTTGCCCAGCTCTGTTGCAAGACACCACATTGGCTATGCCTGCAGTTGTGAAAAAGAGTTGCTGTAACTTTTGTAGAACATGTTAGAGATTTACTTACAAATAAGAGAAGAAGAGAAATATTAGAAAATTTCAGTCTAGGCTGAAGGAGATGAAGCTTATAAATGAAGATGCTATTTGCTGTAAGTGTCAAGATTTATATATATTTGCTGAACTTCTGTTACATCACCATTGAGATATATCTGGTAGCTTACTAACACATTGTTTGGGAATAGGAGCCCTATACTTTAAAGCTATTTGTGTTTTTCAATTTGTATGTGTATTGGATTGATTACTCCAGTCCTTTTAATATGAGAGGAATCAATTTTATGTATTTTTGCAATGCTATTCTAAGTATATTTAACAGAGTTAACAGTGAGTATATTTAAAGATAACTTACTTACAAGTAAGTATATTTAAAGGACTTTAACTGTGAGAACAATTAATCAGTGGAACAACTTACCTTCAGAAGTTGTGGGTGCTTCATCACTGGAGGCTTTTAAGAAGAGATTAGACAGCCCCTTGTCTCAAATTGTATAGCGTCTCCTGCTTTAGTAGGAGGTTAGACTAAAAGTCCTTCAAGGCCCGTCCCAGCTCTGCCCTGATTCTGATTAAGACTATGTTTGTGAACATTATGAAATCATCATGTAAATAGTTTTTCCTAATCATTATTTTGACTGGTTTTATTGTTGCTTCTATGCATCTTTGCAGGGGTGGGATTCAAATTTCTTAACAACTGGTTCTGTGGGTGTGGCGTAATTTGTGGGTGTGGCTTGGTGGTCATGTGACTGGGTGGACATGGCTTGCTGACTGGGCAGGGCTTGGTGGTCATGTGACTGGTTGGGTGTGGCTTGTATGTAAATATTGTAAATGTTTATGTAAATATTGAATTTTTTATTTAAAAAAAGAACAACTTTTACCCAAAATCAGCCAAAGCAGGCAGTCAGATTGAGTTGCTTGCAGAATCGCAGATTCACTCACAGATCTACCTTTCTGCAATCTGCTGCCTGAGTCTGTCACATAAAATTTGCTTGCACATTGCAGGCAAGTTGGATGGCCTGCATGTGAGATAAGGAGTGACTGGGCAGGGAAGGGAGGGGTGAGTGGGGAGGGGCAGGGCTAGCCAGTAGCGTGATTTGCCGGTTGTCCAAACTGTGCAGAATGGTAACAACCGGTTCTATAGAACTGGTCCAAACTGGTAGAATCCCACCCCTGCATCTTTGTATTTTCAGCTCTGCCTCTTAGAGTGATCCTCACAAGCCAGGATCCTGATAAAAGAGTACAGAACAAGGATAGGTGTTATGGGCAGGTGTTATTGAGCTAGAATGCTATGTACAAGTTTGTTTTTGACTCATCAAGAGTTTCCTGGCTCTTCAAGCATGTAAAATGCTCACAAATTGCCCAAAGAAGGGAAGATTGCATAGCTATTTATTATCTCCCTTAAATTGGCAGCTTGCTAGTAGTTTGTCATTTCAGGAAACACAAGAACTGTAGCAGCAAGATGGAAACATGATCTCCCCCTCTTTCTAATCTGTTTGGAAG